CCATGATCTGCAGATGGTAAAACATTCCTGAGCAAGTGACACTTAGGAAAGAGATGCAGAGAAAACAAAAGGAGGGAGGGAAGAGTAAGAAAGGACAATGGGTCCCTTCCCAGCTTCACAACACGGGGTTGTAGAATAAAGATTTTAAAAGTCTCTTTTCATGAAACTGTTTCTCACTTCCAACCCAGCTCATTTATTTGGGGTTCTTTTTTAAAACTATTCAATTTTAGATGTACTCAAAGCATTGGTTAGCCATGAATATGTGCTAACCTTGGAACATTGTCCGTGGTTCCTAAAGGAACCCCCTGGCTTATTTTTAGGAATCAGTTCTCTTTATTTATTTTCTTCTCTCCCATTGTGAAATCGTTAGTTAACTTTCTGTCTGTGTTTGCCTATTCTGAATCTGTACATGTTTTTGTGGATATATGTTGTAATTCATCTTGGCTATATGCTCAGAATGGAACTGCATTGTGCAGTTACCTGCTGACATTTGGGTCTAGAATGTGTCTTGCTTGATATCTTGTTAAAAGCTTTTGCCCTAGAGTTTTATTACTTAGAAATGGCGGAACCTTTGAGACATGTGGCCTAAAAGGAAGTGCTAGCTCATTGGGGCTATGTCCTTGAAGAGGGTGGTGATACCACTCCTTTTCCTTTAATATTTTTAAAGAAAATTTGTGTGTGTGCACGCATGCGTGTGCCTGTACGTGCTCATGTGTGCACACAAATGTGCACCACAACACATATGTACAAAGCAACTCGAGGGAGTGAGTTCTCCCTTTCCACCACCTTGTTCCCTAGGATGAAATACATGTCATCAAGGTTGGATTGCAAGGGCTGTACCTACTGAGCCATGATGCTGCCCCCTGTCTCTCTTTTGAAATCTGCCCCTGAGACAGATGATTTTGCCAATGCTGTCACCATCATGCACTGCTCTACCACAGGTCCACATCAGTGGGACCAACTGGTCATTAAGTGAAACCCTTGAAAGCTTCAACACTTTCTTCTTCTCAAGTTTGTCATCTCGGGTATTTTGTTAGAGTATCCGAAAGCTAACAAGTAATTCCTGGTCTGTTTTTATAAGGAACTGCCATACTGTTTCCTAAGGACCTACACCCCGTTTGTGTCTTCACCAGAAAAGTATGAGGGTCCCAGTTTTCACAAATTAAATCTTAGTTTTATAAATTTTCATACTAAAAATAAAGAAAGCAAATCCACATTGTAAAAAACAAGCAGAGGGTAAGGAAGAGAGGTGACAAGGAAGGAAAGAGGGAGTGAGGGGGA